ATGCTTTATTAGTGTAACAAAAGTCACACAGTTGTATCTCTTGAATTAAAACAACACAAAAAGTAAACAAACTGAAATAAAAATATTCAATGTATAATAGTTACAAAGTAATTTTATCGCTTTCATGTTACTGTTTGCTTGTAAATAATTTCAATTTAAGGAAGTTTGTTTTTTTTTATATTTATTTTCACCAAATTTAGATTTGTTTTTATTAGGTGTTTAAAGGAATGGGAACACTTTTTTATACGGAATATACGTTAGAATTCTCAAAATTGTCCATAACATAATATTATATATCAGAAAATAAAATCATTACTTATTCAAATCTAATTAAAAGATATTTAACCAATAACAACAAAATATATTAAAACAAACCCATTTTTACCTCAAATATTTCGACGCCTTTCATAGATATTTCAGCACTGTTTGGTTTATACAAACAAACAAGCTTGCTTGAAGTAAGATTTATACCCGGTTTAAAAGTAATTTGTTTGATTGATTCTTAATGACTGTAAATGGCTTGCAATATTAACATGCACGAGAGAAAATTAGCAATTGATTTCGATTTTTAATGACTGTAAATGTCGTGCAATATTAACATGCACGAGAGAAATTGATTTCGATACAGCATGTTGTGCCACTACGACTCAAAAATGTAAGGTAGAAACAAACAAAAAACAGCTTTATTTTTTTAGGTGAAAATAAATATCGTAAATGTGATTTTTAAAACTATTAATGTATGATCTGCATACCTGGAGGGCGTCTAATAGGCGACTACACTTGTATTTTATATTCACGTAGCTGTATATAAGAACAACAATAAAATAATTCTAAAATCCTTAATTTGAAATCTAAGTGTAACTTCCCATTTTACCAAGTGAAATGCATGATGAAATCAATAAACTATGGTCATAATATAAGAGAGATAGTGATGTTAGATAAGCGGTGTTATAGTAGAATTATTCTATTATTCTTTTTAAGACACAAAATGCCACATATGGAGCAGGATCTGTTATTCCAGAGCACCTTGGTTTTTGATGGGGTGCGTGTTGCTCAGTTTTTGTATACTGTTATTTGTCTGTTGGTCGTTTTTCTTTTCTTGTTATGGCATTGTCAGTCTGTTTTAGACTTTATAGTTTCTTTGGATATCCTTTGGTATCTTTCACATTTCTTCTATATCAAGGTATTGCTTGTCTTAAAAAATGTCTTGGCTCCAACAATCTGCAAATAAGTTTAATGTATAATCTGTCAAAACAAAAAGTATTTCATATTAACTTGTTTCGTCGGAAAAGAGATCAAACATGACATGTTCATAATTTTATCGTTATACCATCTAGGTTTCAGATAAAAGGTATCTGAACATTTACCAAAATCGAGCATCATTTATTTAAGAAAATATTTAAAAAAAAATTAAACTATATATATAACTAATATAGGACAATGGTGTTGATTAGAAATTACACCATTCCAGGCCCTTTTGTTTTCCATATAATTAATTGAATCAATAATTAACAAGTTCCGGGTCGAATCTGATACCGATATTAATTTTTCTTTCTTTTCTTTCTTTGCAGAAAATTCTTCCACTATCTGGAGTACCATAGAATATCTGTGTAGCAGCGCAACGGATTTAAAAAATGCGTATTATAAAACTTCTTCTGCATGTGCAGGTATAAGTTACTGTCTTTGGAACTACACAGTAGAATATAGTCTATACAACAACACAGTTATATCCACATCTACCCACCACCTATAAGAAAACGCAATGTACAGCATTTTTAGTTTAAGTCTACATATGGTTTTAAAATGGTATATGTCACATGTAGTTTCCGGTTGTCGTAAGAAAACCAGCATGGGTTCAAACAGAAAGATTTTGAAAGCTGTGCACCTTATAATCAGCATGACTTTATCAGATGACAATATGAATACTAAAAATCCAGTCACGGACCCGGGATGTCGCGGGTGTGTTCTAGTTCATTATAAAATAACATCTGTTTTAATGTAAAACATTTTCTTTCTTATGATAAAATTTAAATTTTCTTCGTCAGTTCAGGTCAATTTTTTTTTCGATTGAATTACTGAAACTGAAGACAGAGCAACACGAACTCCACCAAAATCTGTGTTGATTTCTGGTGCTATGGAATAGTGTGCAGATCTTGCTCCACATGTGGCACCGTCGTGTTGAATTCATGATAGGAAACGCAATCTATGAAATATCGCATCAACTTGGAGATATGTACTCAATATGCAAGCCCTGCTGAAATATTGCTATATAGACTTAGAAAGCTGAAATCATGGTCCCTTCTTTTAAACGTATTGTTCTCAACCGACTCTTATTGGTAATCCCATGATGTAAGTCAAGATATGAGGCATATTTAACTGTATTTATGGTATCCTCTATTTCAAGTCCAATTGACTAGATGCATTCCACATAGTCACCAAACATTCAGTTATTTAGTGAAAGGACACCATCTTTATAGCGGAATTTGATGTTAAAGGATAAAACTAGCTTCATTTTATTCTTCAGTAGAAGCTCCTGTATGAAATCTGACTCATATGAATAAAGTCGGCAAGTAGATTATCATAGTTCGTGCAACGGGTAGTCGATTGTGTTTTTTAAATCACGTCCTCCAAATGTTACAAACTCAAGAAATCAAGAACTTTGACAATGTCAGACTCATTTCTGATGAACTATTGGCCTTCAAGTCAATAATTCAACTCATTTGATTCCGTATTTACGCAAACTTCAATTTTGCCCTTATCTAAGATAGGCTACGTATGGGCTAAGCATGTTTATTTTTTTAAAAGAAAACAATATCAACAACAAAAAGTGATACAATGCAGCCACTGCAAAGATCCCTTCGTTGACTGATTCTACCCACAATAAATCATTCAAATACGTCGTAAAACGATTGTTTTCATATTTGTTTTTATCTATGACATGAAATCAAACATTCCTCATTATACGAATGCACGTACTTGCTTATCTATTTTTACATCAGATCATATGACGTACGGAATTCTCATGAGATCATCTCGACAGTTAATTACTTAGCATCAATTCTAAAATACACATAAAAGTTCGTTACATTAAAACGAGTTCATGCATTGTAATGTTTTTCTTTATGAAGTTTTGTAATTTGGATGGACGTTGAAGAAGAGGGACGAAAGATACCAGAGGGACAGTCAAACTCATAGATCGAAAACAAACTGACAACGCCATAGCCAAAAAATAGAAAGACAAACAGACAAATAATAGTACAGATGACACAACATAGAAAACTAAAGACTAAGCAACACAAACCCCACCAAAAACTGGGGGTGATGTGAAAGGATAAAACTAGCTTCATTCTATTCTTCAGTAGAAGCTCCTGCATGAAATCTGACTCATATGAATAAAGTCGGCAAGTAGATTATCATAGTTGTGCAGTATGCTATAGATAAAATATGAGATTTAAGTCGAATTGGTGAACATAAACATGACAGCTGTTAACGCTCCTTAACAAAAAAATAAATCTGACTCTAGTACTGCAGGAGTGCAATTGTCAGGACCATCAATTCAAAATTGATATTTAGTAAAGATCAGAGTGGTCATGCGACTTGCATCGTCAATAATAAATATACAGATAACTCAACTATTTGCCCAGTCTTATCTTTGATCAGTTTTTTATATGCCCGTCCTTTGGTTTCAGGTTGTGATGATTTATTTAATTATTTTGACAGGTTATCTTTTACCCAAAATTAACTGCCAGCTATATTGAGAAAATCATCAACCTAAATCGCACTTTGTTATAGAATTGGAATTGGAGCTATAACAGAGGCGAGCAATCGAATAATAAACGACGAAGCTATTAAAAAGCTCTGAAGGTGTTTGCCATGTGCATTTTGACCACTAAATCATTATTCCTTTGTGATTATGTATTTTTAACATCAATTTGACTTTTCTTTTAAAGACATATCGAACATTCATAAACTGATGTGAACAACATTATAGCAAAAACTTTAAAAAGGTTTCAAAGGAGAAGATGATGATCTGTAAAGTACTAGTCTAACACCGTCGCATGATCACATGTTTAATTAAAGTCAGGCACCTAAACAGTGGTTGTCTTGTTGACCTCAAATGTTTCCATTAGGAAAATTTGATGATGATGAATTATTTGTGATGGTCTCTTTTAAATCTTTTCACTTTTATTGACAAACACTTAACATATTATACAGATATCGGTCCGTTTTGTTTTTTATTTGTATTCTTTGTTTGGTTTGCTATTGTATCATTGACTACGTATCCACAACGTTTCGTCTTATTCATTTTCAAAGAATAATTTATTTTTTCATGGTACATTTTGCCTCATGGAATTAAACTGTAGTTTTTGTAAAACCTTTAGTGGTATCAGAGATGGATGAAACATACAAAACTTGGTGCTTTCGAATATTATATATTTCTTTATTAAATTACTTAGTAAAGCAAAATTATGTATTCATGTTGTAATAGAAAAGACAGGATATGGGGAATCCATCTACGACACAAAATCAGTATGTGCGCAGCAAAAAACACAACCATCAAAGTTGTTTATCTGTTGGTATTTGAACATAGTAGGGAATAAAACTAATCAACATGTCTTAAAAGAGAGGCGAATGATATCAAAGGGACAATCAAACTCACAAGTCGAACATAAACTGACAACGCCATGGCTAAAAAGAAAAAGACAAACAAACAACAGTACACAAAACAAAACATGGAAAACCAAAGACTGAGAAACACGAACCCAATCAAAACTTGGGATGATCTCAGGTGCTCCGGAAAGGGTAAGCAGATCCTGTTAGTACAAACCCGGTGACAAGTCTTATTCGGTAGGTCATATTCGTGGACAAGGGGACGGGATTGTAGTTGCGACAATTGGAACATATCCATTGTCATCTGTGAAACAGATATTCCTTAACGGTCAACCAACTCGTGATGGCGTCCGTAAAATTAACAAACGGACGATTTCAACTCCACCACGTGGAACTTAAAATATTTATTTGAAATCGTTATCAATCATCGACTGCACTGTTAGATTGCCTCATCGACGAACTGTTTCAATAATGGTACGACCTTTCGTAACCTAAAAAACAAAAACAAAACATTAGGAAATTATAACATAATCAACATTATTAAAACAAGTGCCAAACGACAAGGGTGTTTTTATATAATATGATTCAATTTTACTTTAGTCTTTAACCCAGTTTTTGTAACGGTCAATAAAAACAGATTCTTAAATACATTATTGTTCGTATCAACCACCTGTCTTGTTGCATAAGCACTTAATAGCAAATACTAGTTAAGTTATTAGACAAAATAGACTAATAAAGATAAAACTACTTGCCACGAATACAACATCCATTGTAAGAATGACAATCGTAGTAGTCCTTGCTATTATAATAATAGTAGCCATGGTTGTTATAAAAATAGTAATTTTTTGGACATCCGTAATTGTTGGTGCAGTAGTAATGGAGTTTGCTGTATGGGTTACCTAAAAGCCAAAGAAAATAAAAAGAAAACATCAAAAAGAATACTGTTTAAAATTAGGAAATAAAATAAAATCATTACTAAGATGTTTATTACAACCCAAATATGAATGATTAGATATATGTGATGGATGAATAAAATCAACATTTGATGTTTTACCTTATATGGTCATAATACATAAAACAAATTCGCTTTTATAACTTTCTTTCTTCAGTGGATTTAAGCTAGCTCTTCCACGACTTGGGGTATTATTATGCACTTTGATAAAACTATATTGTGCCTTACGTTTGTAGTTTCTATGTACGCTTTCACGAGACGTTTTTAAATATACATGTAATGTTCACTCACTTGAATTAGGTCCACTTCAATTACGATTATGATGTAGTATAGCCGTTAACCTAACTGTACTCTTATAAAAGAAGGCTTTGTTATTACGTTTGTAAAATTTTAAATAAAGTTGAAGGTGAGGTTTCAGGTGAGTTGAAATTAACTGTTTGAAAACATCTATAGGGTTTTTATTTTTTGTTTTAAGTATCGTTGATTTCATAAAAGTTTAATAAAAATACAATGAAGATACCAGATGGACATTTGAAATCATTAGTCCAATTTAAAGAGATAGTAACATTAAAAGAATGTCCAAGTCCACTTAAGGTTAAATTTGCCTGAGTGATCTTAAACCTTATTTCTAAATAACTTGTTTATTTATCAACGGAGAATTTGAGAATGGTATGCTTTGAATCATTTCAGTATTACCGAAGCTGTGACTACTGAATTGGTGAAACCCTTTGGGACTAGCAGTCCATCAGCAGCGGTATCGACCTAGTGTATGAAAATAACACTCTGTAAATTTCTATGCACCCGAAGTGCTTTTCATGAGTTAAATTCATCAGGAACGTTCATAGCCAAAAGATTGCACCTTACGGATGTATAAAAGTAATACTTGAATCTTTTCAAAAGTCATTTTCAAAGTTGGTTTATTTTTCCCCGGTTATATTTTTAGCGTTGGTCATGATATTGTTACTTTCATCTGTAGGATGATAAAATTTTTGCTTATGTTAATGAATTAACTTGAGCAAATATTTTTTGTGTTTCCTATTATGTTTTCGGACTCGTGTATTTATTAATTAATGAGATACCATACTGATAATTTATGTTGTGTACATGAGACTCATCAGTGGCGCTCAAATAAAAAAAGTGGAAGGGCCAATTAACCATACAGTTGTAGAGCACTGCAAATAAATTTTCCGAATGTTTGTTAACACAGGGATGGGTAACAAAGATTAAATTTTATTAAATAAATAATAAAATTGAGGATGGAAATGGGAAAAATGTCAAAGACACAATAAACCGACCAAAGAGCAGATAACAATCTACTTCAGGTTGAAGAAGTTATAGAATACAAACATTTCAACAGTAACTAGAATGGTTTTTGCTTTCGGTAAAAAATTGATATATAATTTTATTAATACTCACGTGGGAGACAGCATCCTGCATAATAGTGGCAATTGTACTTGTAAGACCTATTGCCATATTTACAATACCCATTGTTGTCATAGTAATTATATCCTGATTGACATCCATTATTAGTGCAATATCCTCTACCTCTGTTATCAAAATGTCCCTCGTAATTGTTGTAAGATATATCTACAAGATGATAGTTTTGACAAATGTAAATAAGAAAGTATTTCAAAAGTAAATTGTAACTTAATATCAAACACAATGCACATATCTAATGAAACAACAACGATGATTGTACAAAATGCTTAAATATGATATAACTACTTACCTACAAGACAACATATTGAGTCGCTTGGACACCCGTATGAGTACTTCGTGGCAGCTTTGAACCCTTTGCGACAATTTTTAATCTCGCAATATCCTCCCACTTTGTAGCATTGTGGCTGATAATCGCCAGAGTAACCTTTAGAATAAAATTTAGAAAAGATTACGTTGATGAAGGGAAGTAGGAGTAGAGCAAAGAGGCAATAGAAATTTCAAATACAAATCTATTAAAATACAAAGAAGACTGATGATTAAAAATTAATATCTTAAACAAAAAACCAAACGTATTTACAGAAAGATAAGCCATATCTGCTTGCAAAGTTTAAAAAGATGTGGAATTATTCAAAAGCAAACAATATATGCACTACTTCCAATGAACGCAATAACATACCCTTTCTCAATCAATGTCATGTAACACTCATATTTGTTTGAAATTAGGATATAAATTATATTATAAAACGATACGTCTAAGCATATCTTTTCCATATATCCATTGTGTGAAAACAAATGTGAATTTGACTTCCAATCACAGTAATTCTTTACGGCGTCCATTTATTAATCTTCCCTTTAAAGCACAATTTATGCATTCCTTTTCACAGGTGTTCAAGATTGAACGCTGGCTGTTACATATTTAAATTTTATGTCTTTTTAGAGGATGCAACTAGTAAGCCGGAACTACTCTCAAATTTGGAGCATCGGAGTAATCTCATGTTTTGTTTAGGGGAAAACTGTGTTGATTAATCTGCAGTGTGTGTGTGGGTTTGTTTTAAGAATAAGGAATATTTGTGTAAAGGGAGAAGAAGTCCAATGTTTATTACAGTTGCATGCATGGGAAAAGGGACATTGATTGTATGCGCTCTCACAAATTATTTTTATTTGTAAGAACCCCATCTGATTTACATAGTGTTTTCTGTTGGTAGCTTCACCATAACACGATAGACTGGTTTGATTCCCGACAGAGTATATTTTGAATAGGTTACGTGGTTAGGTTTCTGTGGTTTTAGACCTATTTTGAATGAAAACTTATGTAATATTGGGAATTCAGTAGCTTTAATTCCGTCCAGAAATTCATACAAAGTAAATTTTGTAATATCATAGGATCATTAAACCGCTTTACACTTAATATTTGTATAGTAAATCACATCTAATTGTTCATTCAAAATATAAAACTTTCTCTGGTTTTAAAAAATTCGTTGATAAGTGATATTCAGCATAATTACCGGGTAGATGTTCATGCAACCACATTCGTAAAAAAAACTGAATAAAACATTTACTAAAGAAGTAGCGTTTTTATTGTGTTTTTTCTAAATCGAAAATGAGGTGTTATTGTAAATCTGAATCCCACTGTTTATAGACGTGAGGTATTCAATAGAGTTGCATTGTTTTATAAATATTTTCAGAATTCCAGTTCTTCGTTTTATGGCAACCAGAAAAAAGATATATGACGGATCTGGGTTTTTTTTTTGTTGTTTTTTTTTTGTGTTATATAAATCCATCGGTAAATGAATTATCTTAGATTTAAGAGGATATATTTCATTGGTATTACTGAGATTCAAAATAAACAACACACACATGCTCAACCTTAACATTTGAAAGACAGTACTGTTTAAACATATTGAAACACTAAAAGCCATATGATCAAAAGGGACCTAAAAATGATGTAATTCGATGAATTTGACTCTTTGTTGAAGGTCCGTATGGTCGTATAAGTGTCTATATGCCATTGTGTTTTTCTTTGTTGAAATAGTTTTTTTGTTTTTCTAGTGATTAAGATTATATTACTATGTTAATTGCTGTACCCCAATTGTTGACATTTTTACCTATAATGTATGTTTCTTTTGATCACACAAGGTTGTCAATATAATGGAATTCTATATGACTGTCATACAAGTGAGAGGTTTAGCTAGCTTTAAAACCAGGTTTAATCCACCATTTTCTACATGAAGAAATACCTGTACCAAGTCAGGAATATGACAGGTGTTTTCCATTTGTTTGATGTGTTTGAGCTTTCTCTAAAGGACTTTCCATTTTGGAGTTCGGTATTTTTGTTATTTCAGTTTTTTCAATAGCTCTTAACGTGCATTTTATTTATACATCATTTGCTTTCAAATGTTAGAGTTTGAGTGTTCGTTATGAAGGTAAATCCAGAAGAGCGCTTATGTAGAAAAGTGTTATTTTATTCATTAAATAATCTGTGAGATTTGAAATCAAAACCTAAAAAATTTAAATGAGACAGAAATCATTTCAGAAGATATTTTTTAGAATTTGGTCATGAAAATTATTGGCTCTTACCTTATGCTATGTTTTTTAAACTGGTATAATACATCTTTTGCGTACATTACCAATGCAAACCTGAAACACTGAAGGCATACACAATAAAGAAAAGGCTAATACATTGCTCTTACCTGCTCCACAGACAGCGGGGATCACAAAGACTGCGAGTAGTACCTGAATTGATGTCATATTGAAATCGAGTTATATTGCATGTTGATGCTGCTTTAAGTATGAAATAAAAGTCAGTTGTGAACAGATGTTTCACATATTATATGCAAAGAATATCAAAATATGCTTAAGAATTAGATTAAAATATTAAAAAACCACACAGTCATGTAATTCAAATGCGAAAGTCCTTAAATGAAAAAAAAAAACTATTCAGTATATTAATCGTATCGGAACATAATTTAAGTTTTTTATTTTTGAACATATCAAAATATGATAAGTAGTTTTATTTCACAACACATTAACAAAGGAAGCAATTATCAGTATGAAATTGCGTGCAATGTGCATGCAAAACATAAAATTAATCTGCAGTTTCAGAATTTATGAGAATATGATTACAAAATATGCCAAATTCATTTCTACACATAACTGATGACAATTTTATTTTCATCACATTCTGTTGAACCCTTGACTGTAGTACAAAGCCATGAATAAATCAAAGCATATCTAGGCCTGAACAAAATTTACTACTCCAGGTATCTGCACAACCAGTTCACGTATAAACAATAGTAAACAAGAAGAATACTGCACATTCTGAAAAAACTTATTTCATCGGGACAAAGATGAATCATAACAATCAGGTGGGAATCTAACAAAAGTAAAATCAATGCATTTTCTAGGTTTCAGACAGTCGGCAGGAGAATATTTACAAGCCAGGTTTTATTAGTTTAAACACATTAGACTCCTATTCAATTGTCATACAAGTGGGAGGACTAGTTGCTG